TACATCCATACATACATCCATACATCCATACATACTTACATCCATACATACATACATACATCCATCCATACATACATACATCCATACATCCATACATCCATACATACATACATCCATACATACCATACATACATCCATACATACATACATACATACATCCATACATACATACATCCATCCATACATACATACATCCATACATACATCCATACATACATCCATACATCCATCCATACATACATACATACATCCATACATACATCCATCCATCCATACATACATCCATCCATACATACATACATCCATACATACATCCATACATACATCCATACATCCATCCATACATACATACATACATACATACATACATACATCCATACATCCATACATCCATACATACATACATCCATCCATACATACATACATCCATACATACATCCATACATACATCCATACATCCATACATCCATACATCCATCCATCCATCCATACATACATCCATCCATACATACATACATCCATACATACATCCATACATACATCCATACATCCATCCATACATACATACATACATACATCCATACATACATCCATCCATCCATCCATACATACATCCATACATACATCCATACATACTTACATCCATCCATACATACATCCATCCATCCATACATACATCCATACATACATCCATACATACATCCATACATCCATCCATACATACATACATACATACATACATACATACATACATCCATACATACATCCATACATACATCCATACATACATCCATCCATCCATACATACATCCATACATACATCCATACATACTTACATACTTACATCCATACATACTTACATACATCCATACATCCATTCATACATCCATACATACTTACATCCATCCATCCATACATACATACATCCATCCATACATACATACATCCATACATCCATACATCCATACATACATACATCCATACATCCATACATCCATACATCCATACATACATACATCCATCCATCCATACATACATACATCCATATACATACATCCATCCATACATACATACATCATCATACATACATCCATACATACACATCCATCCATACATCCATCCATACATACATACATATACATCCATACATACATCCATCCATCCATACATACATCCATCCATACATACATACATCCATACATACATCCATACATACATCCATACATCCATCCATACATACATACATACATACATACATACATACATCCATACATCCATACATCCATACATACATACATCCATCCATACATACATACATCCATACATACATCCATACATACATCCATACATCCATACATACATCCATCCATCCATACATACATCCATCCATACATACATACATCCATACATCCATACATACATCCATACATACATCCATACATACATCCATACATACATCCATACATACTTACATACATCCATCCATCCATCCATCCATACATACATCCATACATCCATCCATCCATCCATCCATACATACATCTATACATACATACAAACATACATAGATATATACATCCATTACTGATAATGTATACACTAGATAAAACCATCCGTTTCCATATTTACAATATAACTCTTAACAGTATTTTTTTATTTTCCAGACTGGCATGCGTTTTCTTTTCTTCAATGTCGGAGATTTCTGTGCGGCTCTCTCACTGTGCCAGAATGAAATATGTCATTCCTGCCTTTATCCAGGACTCGTAAAATGACTTGTTAGACAGAGAAATGCTACAGTTTGCTTTAGAGCCGATACATGGCACACGAACAGACAGAATGGAGCAAAGTGATGTATCCTGCAACACTGAGATACACCCAGTTTGGGTGACAAGTTTCTCCTACCGTTTGAGACTTTAATGAGGTTCTTTGCTGAAAGACATAACAAGGTGATATTTAGGCCATTGGAAGAAAAACATGTTTGAGTTCAATAATTCTCATTTTGTAGAATGAATACATGCTTTGTATGAATGGACTACAGGACTACATTCCCCACGCTGCTCAGACAACTTCAAAGGTTACCTTACCAGCCATCATGGGTTATGTAGTCCACAAACAAAGGAGGCATTGCTGTATATTATATAACGCTAAATTCATCACATTTATTTGGGGAGGACCTCTAGTTAGCTATTTCCACATGCTGCAAGTTTAATATAAAAAATAGTTAGTATACAAAAAACATTTAATACACCATATTCCATATAATGGTTGGAGGTTATTTGCAGTAATCCCTTTATATCACAATAGCACCTGGTCATCATAAATGGTACAAAATCTTCATTACCTCAACATATGAACAAAACAAATAAAAATGGAAAATTATGCTTTTGTTTCATTAGTATTGCCAGATAGACCAACTATTAAGTTTCTTGTGATAACTGTTTAAGATTTCATCCTTCTCCTTATTTTCTCTCCTTTGAATGACTATGACTTGGTGGTAATTCTTGTGAAGCCAAGGCCCCCTATTTTTATGGGATCTTGTAACTGCCACAATACTCCATGGCTCCAATCAAACAAATCCAAAATGTTACAGCCTCAGGATGTCCTGTTCTGCTCATGCCCCAACCCCTTCTTCACAAATTCCCCAGTCTTTTTGCTTTTTCCTTGCTCTTCCATACCTTTTCTTACTTATTTCCCTCCAAGATATATCACCTTCCTAGACATTGTTGTAGACCATGTACACCCCTTCATGGCAATAGTTCTGCCTGATGGCATTAACCTCGTTAGTGCACCCTGCCACACTGCAAAAAAGGTTTAGGAATGGTCTGAGGAACATGTCAAAGAGTTAAAGGTGTTGCCTCGGACTCCAAATTCCCCAGATCCCAATTCGATTGAGCAACTGCTTTGGCAACATGAGGGGGGCCTGCACAATATTATGTAGGTGGTTTTTGCATAAATGTTTTTGCATAAATTGTAAAGTGCTTATACGAACTGTTAAATAAAATAAAAATGTTGTTAAAAATAAATAAATAAATAATTATGTCTCCGTTATCAGCATTAACTCTTTTAAGCAAACAAGGAAATAATTCCTAGGACCCAAAATAATTAGAGGTGACATTTGAGTCCCCATGAATAAAAAGTCAGTAGGTACCAAGAGCTGGGAGAGCAATACCCAGCTCTCATTTGTTCTGATCAATTCTTTTCTACAATGTGATTAGTTAGATGTAAGACATCTTTGGCAAAGTTCTGAGTGTTAAAGTCCACAGTATTAGTAGAGTCCCAGATTGTTATATATTGTTACACTGCTGTTCTATGGAAACACTGTCACAAAGTGTGCGATACTGTTGTAACAGACACATAATTCGAAACATTCGAGTAATACTGTTGCAGCATGTTAACACTTATTTTATGAACTTATTAAATTCCCAACATTTTAAAGTCAGTATCTCTGGGGTAAATGCCATCATCCCTTTAACAATTGAATACACAGAACTTTACCAGAACTCCCAGAAAATTTGTCCATATTATAGGAACATTTATTTTGGTGTACAGGGCTATCTTGACCCTCAGAGAATAGACCACACTGTTTTGAAACCATCTGCTCTTCTATCCCTCTTGGCCCTGATACAACTTTAAAGCATTTTCCGAATTCTCTTAATGTTTAATTACCAAATTCTGCAAAGAACAGACTTAACAGACTAACTCCCTAACAACAATCTAATGAGGTGACCGGAGACCACATTTTACCTAAAACTAATCCCTCACAAACATGTTCCTTACAATTCCATTGTTCTGTCATTTAATGCAATTTTATTATTAAGATATTCAAGAGCAGAGCAACCTCAGCTCCACAGGGGGGAATTTCTTTCTCCGACATGGAAAAACTGAACATATGAAAGTATTCAAGAGCGACGATATATAGAGCGCGTGTTTATGATATTTTGTTTATAATATATACAGCTTGGCTTCATGTTTTGCGTGGAATGTGAATAACAATTAATTAAAAGCATGTGTAGTAACTATTACCGCATGAAACATATCGAGAATGTATGATGGATTACAGGCAACCAAATACAGAGCAGTTCCCTTTGCATAAACTGTAGGGAGGGAGGGAATCCTGTAAAAATACAGATGAAAATTAATATACAGACAGACAAATCTAGGTGTGTGTGTGTGTGTGTGTGTGTATGTGTGTGTGATGTTAGATAGACAGACAGATCTAGGTGTGTGTGTGTGTCTGTGTGTGTTGTTACACAGACAGATCTAGGTGTGTGTGTGTGATAGACAGACAGATATACAGTCTAACTTGCACATCACTTCTCTCCTCTCTTCATCTCTGTTCCACTTAAATTTAAAGGGCACTTTAATTCTCAATGTTATGTTTTAACATAATAAATCGTTTCATCAAGTTTTAAAAGGATTTATTTTAAATTATGTATATGTAAAAATAAAAGGAGAAGGGGCGGGGCCTGACCATCATGGCAGAGAGTCGTGTATTCCATGAGCTCCCACAAAATCCTGACAAAACAAGCGAACATCTGCTCACCCAAGCGACACAAACAGCATTTCCAGGCACCCACATGCCACCCACGATAAAGGGCACACAGTGGGCTGTTATGCGACTCGATTGGGGCCAGATGAAATCACAACGGACACTGCGGCCTGGTCTGGATCGGGTGGGGGAGGCGGCCGCTCCCCTGTCCTGGAGGCACCCTGAAGCTGCTCACCGCACAAGCAAGCCCTGCTACCCCCCCCCTCGGACCGGCGGGGGTAATCCCGGTCCACCCTGGGGTGGCGACCCTGAGCAGGATGAGAAGGGGAACACTGCCAAAGACAGTAAACAGAGACCTCCCTAAGATGGCGGACACAAATTGTGCTGACAACCACAGCGACACCTCACAAGACATCCTCACTCGAATAAGCAATCACTTTGAGGCATTCTGGAGGAAGCTGGTGGTTAAGCTTAATCAACCTGCCTCACCACGATCACCCACTTCTACAAGGCAAGCATCACTCACCCACTCCCATCAAGCGAACCGGCATCCACCCAGCCGCCCAGCGCCCTCACTCACCCAAGCAGGGCGTCAATGAAAATCTGCCTTCCCGCCCCGCCGTCGATCCGGCAAAGACCGACACCGCGCTCCGCACAGTCAGAAGAGTCACATATCGCAGCAACACCTACAGACACGGAGAGAACCCTGTGGACCTAGCCTGGCTCATGGACTGTGCTACTCGACGGCAGACAGGGCACGGGAGTGCGGAGGATCTCGGAGCATAAGGCACATGAGCAAGCAGAAGGGTTCCCTGATTGGACTCACCTCACGTAAGAATGGAATGACACTAGTCCTGGAGTGGAGATGGTGAGGCACAGGGCCCAAAATGGCGGCAACACTAGGTCACCCCAACAACGTCCCACAACCACGACACAGGGCACCCCCTGGGCACACACCGCGACCAAGACCAAGACTCACAAAGGCACCAGAGTGGGACTGTGGTATATCTCTTGCGGGGGTTGGCTGACCGGGACTCTTGATACTACAGATGAGTCAATCACCCCATGCCTCATATAGTCTCTATCTGCAAATGTTGAAGTTTTATTGTTTCTACTTGACATTTGATGTTACTCTTATACTTTTATGTTATGCTTTACAATCAACTGTTTAGGCCACTTCTCCATGCTAGCGATGAGAGCACACCTCACTAAGGACACCAATACTGGGGCCCTCCCTCCTACTGGTAACCTCTCTTCCCCTTAGTTATGCCCACCAGCTGTCCGTTGCAGCAGGTATTTTTGTGGCAACCCAAGAGTTGCGCTGGCACCTGTTTTACTAAACTTGAACACACTACCTAACCCACTGTAATTATGCAGCATTAACTAACAACACTAGCATAACCATGTACCAAACAGGTAGCAAAGCACAACTTTTTCATATGCTAGAGGGCTATGTGTAACAACGTTGAAATTAACCATAACTCAACCTACATAACCCACCATAGCAGCTTCAGACTTAGCTTGTTCCCATACTCATGTATAAACTCATAAAATGTGCAACGTTAATAAGCCATACAATGTTTTTCTATGTCTATGTCTAGCCTACACCGGCTGTTGTGGCTATGCAAGCATACATGCATACTATATGCACTACTAAAATAAAGAATTAAAAAAATAAAATAAAATAAATAAAATGAGAAAAAGGTATCCATGCCTCTAGTATATTACAGGATCCTTCAGCCATATACATGGAGCTTGGGTCAGACAGTGTTTGAAAGCCAACAGCTACTCTCTATGGTCTTCTCTGCCTCTCTCCCTGAAAATAATAAAGGGAAGACCATAGAGACTGCAGATTAAAATCTAAGGTGGCTTTTTTCTCATTTTTGTACATATACTTTATTTAAAATACATTTCCTTGAAAAACTTGATAAAAGGATTAATATATTTAAAAAAAAAAAAAAACCATTTTGAGGTGACAGATGTCCTTTAATCCCGAGACTGGAACTCCCAATCAGTGTCAGGAAGCTCCAGCAGTAGCTAATGATGTAACGTGCTCTGCAGCCGAGCTTTCAAACATCAGCTTGATTATGTTATTTCATCTAAATATGCTGAATTGGAAGAGTTCGCCTCAGTAAACACCATTCTGACTATGGGTGGACACCTTAACCAATAACAGCAAGCTTATTAAAGATTTAATGATTTGGAAAAACCTTACTGATCAGCAAATGCAGACGTTGGTGGCGCAGTCCAAGCCATTTACATTAGTAGAGTAAACAGTTTGAGTGCAAAGACTCCATTTTGCAGATGATAAATATCACTTTGTTACATTATTGCCAGCCATTGGTGTGCTTTGCCGTCGATGTTTTTGTTTTTGAAGTGTTTGCTATATAATTATGTATTCAAAGCATCAGATTCACTTTTTAGGTTGTTTTCATAGAAACATAGAAACATAGAATGTGATGGCAGATAAGAACCATTCGGCCCATCTAGTCTGCCCAATTTTCTAAATACTTCCATTAGTCCCTGGTCTTATCTTATAGTTAGGATAGCCTTATGTCTATCCCATGCATGCTTAAACTCCTTTACTGTGTTAACCTCTACCACTTCAGCTATCTTTCCTATTTGCTCTTATTTATTCAAATTTTTGCACCAAAATATTCCTTACAGAGTAGCTCTTTTATTTAAATTTACTGTTCCACCTTAACTCACTTAATGGTTCACAAATCTCATTTGTCACTTCCCATGTAAAGCCATTAAAACGTGTCTATTCTAACCGACAGATATTGTCTCCAAAGTCCGCTGAGTAGCTTTCGTGGGCTTCCTTTTAATGTAGACAAAATCCTTCAAATTATTAATGCATGTTTTTCCTAGTAGTATTACTTATTTGTCATATTTTTTTTATGTATAAAATGGCAAAATTGTCCAAATAAAAACAGGGGAAAAAAATTATAAAAAAAATATAAATTGTCATAAAGATTCAAAATTAAAAATAGTTTTTCGCACATTACAAAAAAGGAGATAGAAAAAAAAAACACTTGTCAACAGGTGGAGTAGTGCAAAAGGTGAAAGTGGATGAAAAAGTTTAATACATAACCCCATTTGTGCAGTGGGGACGAGCTAAAAATATACATAATGCTGAACCGGTAATATGTGATTTATACCAGTGTGGCAGATGGGAGAACCTGTTTCTGGGAAGCATGCTATCAAGCTCTTTTGATAAATACAATGTTTTTAGAGGAACAAGTGATTAGCAAATTCCAAGACAAGTCAAGCATATCAAAATAAAGTGGTATTACCTAAAATGATAAACTGCAACAGACCATCCTGAGTGAAACTGAAACAAAAACACTTTGCACACTATATTAAAATATAAAGCTAGGATATTATGGTGATGGCCCTTAAAATGAATTTAACAATTGAAATAATACTTGAATTTCATGGACTGAAATAAAAATAAATAAAAAATAAGTACATAAATTTAAAAAAATGGACAAAAAAACATGAACAGATACTTTAAGATGCATGAATGGCATACATGGCAAAATAAAATTATTAGATTCTATTAATTAATCACAACATGTCACATGTAGCTCTACCACTAATTTTCTAATGGATTAGCTATTTTTTTTTAATAGTTTTTATAATTCTCAGATAGGTCTGGTAGAGTTATGCTCTTTTTTTGTCACCGGAGTAATTTATATTTCCTACTTTGCTGTGTGAGATCTGGCTGTGTATAAACTGACACCAGTCGCAGTATAACTGCTATCGGAATATCAGAATATTGAGCAGTTCCATAAATAAGCTACTGCGGTTGGTGTATAAACCTCTTATCCTATAAACATTTACCCGGACCTGGATTTATTGGATACATCAGACCCCATAGACCCGATTGAGTCGCTACTGATTAGTCAGGTTGCCACTTCCTGAATGTCTGAGCCGAATTCTGCCAAATGTTTCTTTTTACGAAGACCCTCTTGAATCAGATTTTTCAATGAATCCTCTCAATAAGCTGTAATACAACAAAACAGATAACTAACTAACTAAAAAAAAAAAAAAAAAACCTCTATCACGGCTTAATTATTGCATTTGTTCATCATCTAAATCCAATGCTTTTAAGGATTTGACTAAACATACTTAAAAATTTTAAATGAAAAATTAAAGCTTACTTTAACAGATTTAGCATTTTGCAAGAACCCCAATTTATCAAAATAATGCATGTGCATTTCTTCGATCGTGGATATCACAGGGCTCTGGATTCTGAACGAGTTGCTACAGACCACCTGAATGCTACGGGAGATAAAATGGTCCCTGATGTCGAAAAAAACCCATGAAATGACATGGTGGTCTAAGACCACATGTGTGCAGTTTATTGCCCCTAGGATATTTGGAATCCCAGCTGTCTCATAAAAACCAATGATTCATTTCTTGCCACGTTCCTGTGTTGATAGAACATTTCTGTAAATTAAAACCATAAACAATATGGCAAGGAAGACCCAAGCGGTCATACAGCAAGTGTGCATGTAATGAACTTAAAGTCATCGATGAACTGCCCACATTAGTTATCTTGAAAATATGGGTCATACTTATAAAACAGCAATAATCTAAATAATGTTTTTATCCTTTCTCTACTTTTACCTTATCATATAACTCATCATATTCTCTATGTCTATTTTAGCTTCTATCTATAGCTGTCTCAGTACTGCCCTGACTGTCTCTTATGTCTATCATCTATCCGTCTATCTGTCTGTCTTCCTGTCTGTCTGTCTATCTATCTATCTATCTATCTATCTATCCATCTATCTACTTATCTAATAATTTATTGAAGGCCATAATGGTCAATGGCTCACAAATCCACAGTTCCAACTGTATTATAAAATCCCCTTACTAGTCATTAGATAATTTACTAACTCAAGGAAATTTAGTAGAATATTCTCTACACATAGAAATGTTTTCAAACTATATCAGAGGTTCCAAAAGTATCTAAAACAAGGCTGAAGCAAGCATTCTGTCCACTTTTTCATGTCACCAAATGTTTTCTGATTTGGGGCTACAATAAACTATGCATCTTCCACCCCTGATGCTATGAGATGGTTTTTTTTTTCACTTTTATGTCCTCCAGGGATTTCCAGTCACCTAAATGTGGCCACGTATGCCAAATCTTAAAGATGTGTATTTACTAAGTGTCAAATGGCAGTAGAATGATATTACAACGGGTTTTTCTAAACTCAATTGTTTCAACTCAAGGTGTGCTCTGTAAAACTAGTTCAGCTGTCTGCAAATGCAGTTTTGGTTATTCAGACTTATTGATACTACTATTCAGCTAATAGACAGATCTCTAAAGATCTTTATATATTTAGGTACAAAACAGCTAAATTGCAACCAAAGCACTTTCATCCATCTTTTCTTTTTTTAAATTTCACTAAAATTCAGCTGCTGTTCCACTACCCTTCACCCGCAATTCTGCTGTAGTCCAGCCCATTCATTTACAATTCAGCTGACATCCATTTACCATTCAACTACCAGTTATCATTAATATACAGTTCAGCTGCCATCCACTTATCATTCATTTACCGTTTAGTTGTCATCCAGTTATCATTCATATATAATTCAGTTGCCATCCAGTTAGCATTCATTTATAATTCAGCTGCCATCCAGTTATCATTAATTAACAATCCAGCTGCCATCCAGTTATCATTCATTTACAATTCAGATGCCATCCATTTACCATTCAGCTGCCATCCAGTTATCATTCATTTACAATTTAGTTGCAGCCCTTTTATTATTTA